GTACAACTCCCAAATCTCAAGGTCTATTTTCCCAAAACCCCACGAGTGTTCACATTTGGGCATATGGAGTATTCGTGCCAAGTTTGGTCCAGATCTATCATTGTTGGAGTCTAGAGTGCTCTCTGGATATAGACGAACTTCAACTCCCAAACTCTAGGTCAATGCCCACCAAACCCTTCCAGTATTTTCTGTTGGTCATGGGAGTCCTCTGTGCCAACTTTGGTTCAATTCTATTGTTGGTGGGGTTCAGAATGCTCTTTGTTTACAGGTTAACTATAAATCCCAGTAACTACAACTCCCAAATGGCAAAATCAACCCCCCCAACCCCACCAGTATTCAAATTTGGGCATACTGGGTATTTGTGCCAAATTTGCTCCAGTGAATGAAAATACATCCTGCAGATCATCATTTATATGGTGATTCATAATGTGAGGGTTATGGTTGGGGGTCACCACAACATGAGGAACTGTATTAAGGGGTCGCGGCATTAGGAAGGTTGAGAACCACTGCTCTACACGAATACTCAATATGCCCAAATGTGAACACTGGTGGAGTTTGGGGAAAATAGAATCTTGACATTTGGGAGTTGTAGTTGCTGGGATTTGTAGTTCACCTACAGTCAAAGAGCATTCTGAACCCCATCAACTATAGAATTGGGCCAAACCTCCCACACAGAACCCCCATGACCACCAGAGTGGGCCACAGCAACGTGTGGCAGGGGACGGCTAGTGTGTGTGTGTATATATAATATGATAAACCATAGAGAATATAACCAATCTATGTTATATTATTAATATAATAGGAACATGAATATAGATAAGTCAAGGGTCTTTCTAGTCCAGTGGTTCTCAACCTGGGGTCCCCAGATCTTTTTGGCCTTCAACTCCCAGAAATCCTAAACTGGCTGGGATTTCTGGGAGCTGTAGGCCAAAACACCCAGGGACCCACAGGTTGAGAACCACTGTTCTAGTCTAACCCGTTTGCATTGCTGAGCTTCTCCAGTCTGTTCAAGGAGCTCAAGGGGTCCGAAGGACAAGGCCATTGTCGGACCTTCAAAAGAGGCCTCGCCTTAGCCACGCCCCCGGAACCTTGGAACTCGCGCCCGTGTTTCCCCCCGAGCCCGGCGGAGAGTCGGCGCCACTTCCGGCCTAGGCGTTGGAACACCTCAAGAAGTTGAAGGGTTTCCTTTTGGGAGAGACGTTCCCACAAGAGGTAGGCTGCACACGAGCAGGGTGTCACGCTGCTTGGCGGGTATTTTAAGAGCTTTTTTTAACCGTGATAAGGGTCGAATTTTATATATGTATATGTAATATACATAATATATCTTCTATATAAATAAAAATGTCATGTTAGTTCGTGCTACCATCAGAACTCAAAAACCACTGGGGGAATTGACACCAAATTTGGACACAAGACACCTAACAGTCCAATTTATGTCCTCCACTCCAAAAAAATTGATTTTGTCGTTGCTGGGATTTATAGTTTACCTACAATCAAAGAGCATTCTGAACTCCATCAATGATGGAATTGGGCCAAATTTAGCACACAGGGCTCCCATGACCAACAGAAAAAACTGGAAAGGTTTGGTGGGCATTGACCTTGAGTTTGGGAATTGTAGTTCACCCACATCCAGAGAGCACTGTGGACTCAAACAATGATGGATCTGGACCAAACTTGGCACGGATATTCCATATGCCCAAATGTGAACACAGGTGGAGTTTAAGGGAAATAGGCCTTGACATTTGGGAATTGTAGTTGCTGGGATTAATACTTCACTACAATTAAAGAGCATTCTGAAACCCACAAACGACAGAAATGGGGCAAACTTCCCACACAAAACCCCCATGACCAACAGAAAATACTTAAGGCCATCCAGTCCAACTCCCTTCACCAGGGCAAGGAAATGTAATCAGAGCCCTCCTGACAAAGAGCCATCCAGCCATAAATATAGGTAGATATGATTCCCTCTCACACACACAGATATAGTATCATAGATTTGAAAGAGACCCTTAAAGAAGGACTATGATATGTTGCATATTCCAGAGTAGGCAAACCAGACACTCTGCACATCAACACTGACAAAGAAACAACAAGAAATACTGTTTACTCACAAGCAGGAAGGAATTACATATATTAGAAACCAACACTTTCTCATTACTTTATTTTCCAGATCACCAGATGGGGCCACAGCAACACCTGGCAGGGGACAGCTAGTATAATATATACAAGTAGTATTATATATACATATAAATGATGTATTTTATATATATATATAAATGTATATAATTATTTTCTAATGCTTACATGTTTTAGGTATTTTTAAAAGTGGACTTCTTAGAGATATATGCACACACACACACGTGTGTGTGTGTGTGTATGTGTGTGTGTGTGTAGAATCCTACAGTTGGAAGAGACCTGGTTGGCCATCATCCAGTCCAACCCCATTCTGCCAAGAAGCAGGAAAATCGCATTCAAAGCACCCCCCAAAGATGGCCATCCAGCCTCTGTTTAAATGCCTCCATAGAAGGAGCCTCCACCGCACTCCGGGGCAGAGAGTTCCACTGCTGAAGAGATCTCACAGTCAGAAAGTTATACATATATATTTATAGCTCCATGCAGTCATGCCATTAGATTAGCGCCATCTCTAATGGTATTCCGCAAAAAAAGTAAAGACCTGGTTATTTCAGCAGGCGTTCGAATAATTAGTGCAATGACTGGTAATGACATAGGAATGGAACAATGGATGACGAATCTGGATTGTGTTTTTAGTGATGAGATGCTAGTGATTGGTTATTATAGTAATTTGTGTACTATCTGTGTATTGATTAGGTTGTTAACTGTTTTTATATTGGTGTATTCAACTTTGCTGTTTCCTGTGTGTTGTGAACTGCTGTGAGTCGCCTCCGGGCTGAGAATAGCAGTATAGAAGTAAAGTAAATAAATAAAATAAATAAAAATAAATTGGAGGTGTCTACGGACAACACTGGCTCTTCGGCTTAGAAATGGAGATGAGCACCACACCCCAGAGTCAGACATGACTGGACTTAATGTCAGGGGACTACCTTTACCTTATAGCCCCCCCCACCCCGATGGCACAGTTGTTTAAACTGCTGACCTGCAGAACTTGCTCACCAAAAGGTCAGCGGTTCTAATCTAGGGAGTGGCATGAGCTCTCGCTGTTAGCCCCAGATTCTGCCAACCTAGCAGTTCAAACACATGCAAATGTGAGTAGATCAATAGGGCTCGCTCCGGTGGGAAGGTCATGGCACTCCATGCAGTCATGCCAGTGGCCACATGACCTTGGAGGTGTCTACAGACAATGCTGGCCCTTCAGCTTAGAAATGGAGATGAGCCCCAGAATCAGACACAACTAGACGTAATAACAGGGGAAAATCTTTATCTCTATTATAAAGTAAAATACTTTGCCCTCTGTAGCCCCTTGTGGATCACAAGGTCAGCGGTTAAAATCCGGAGAGCGGGGTGAGCTCCCAGTGTTAGCCCCAGCTCCTGCCAACCTAGCAGTTCAAAAACATGCCAATGTGAGTAGATCAATAGATACTGCTCCAGCGGGAAGGTAACGGTGCTCCATGCAGTCATGCCAGTGGCCACATGACCTTGGAGGTGCCAGCACTTCAGCTTAGAAATGGAGATGAGCACCAGAGTCCCAGACTTGGACAGAACTATATGTAATGACAGGGGAAAACCTTTACCTTTACCATATATGTTTGTGTGTGTGTATGTGTGTGTGTGTATACACACACACACACATCCTATTCTGATGCTTGTATGTTGTGGGTATTTTAAATAGTGTTATATTGTCTTCTCATACAATAATAATAATAATAATAATAATAATAATAATAATAATAATAATATTTATTTATACTGACCATCTCCCCAATGGGACTCAGGGTGGCTTACATGAGGCCAAGCCCAACAGCTCATCGGTAAAACAACAGTATATCAGTAAAACAATAGTATATATATTTATCTGAGAAGTTAGTATAACACAGTATAACTTCTCAGATTTAATTATATATATATATATACACACACACACACACACATACACACACCCACACATACATATACATCTATATTAATATTAGGGGGCCCGCGGTGGTCCAGTGGGTTAAACCACTGAGTTGCTGAACTTGCTGACTGAAAGGTCAGCAGTTTATTCTGGGGAGCGGGGTGAGCTCCAGCTGTTTGGTCCAGCTTCTCCCATGAATACACTTAATGTCAAGGGGAAACCTTTACCTTTACTATAGATATAATATTTAATTTATTATTATTATTATTATTATTATTATTATTATTATTATTATTATGAGATGGTTATTATCATAAGTGATAACATGCAATACATTATTTATATTATTATCTTTATTATTTTGAGGTTATTATTATCATCATAATCAAAAAAGCAAAGTTTTGGCAGTTTAATAAAGTTTTCCCATGTTTTTATGACAGAACCAATTAGGATGTAATGACATTTATAACCCAGGAACATAAATCGTAGTGTGACATAGTGTAATAATAAATTGTATTTCCTCCTTTTCAGAATCAGTGGAATGACTCTGTCGCCTCAAGATGGCAAAAAGTAAAGCTAAAGCACCACAAACCCCATCAGACAAATCTGTCTCAAAGGCTGAGAGCCATAAAAAAAACCTTAAGAAGAAGAAGAAGATACTGTTTTGGAAAAAGAAAATGAAAGGAGTAGAGAAGAAAACGCAAAAGGATCCCAAGAAAATGGCAGAGTTGCCTCCGAAAACAGCTGAGGAGGTTTCCGCCAATTGGAAGGCCTTGCAGGAGGTACAAAGGGGCAGCTCCAGAATCACCTCTGACACATAACGTGGCAGAACAGGATTTGAAAAAATGTTCTGTCCCTGGTTTGAAAGTGTTATTCCTATGTAATTGTGCTGCCCTTGCTTTGAAAGGAGTCGCTCTCCTCCAGAAACTTCGTTTTTGTTGATGCAATTAAAAACCTGTGGCAGGGCCAAATGTAAGAATTAAAAAAATTTAAAATGCTGGGCATGTCCAGGGAAATAGGTTGGATATTTTAAGATAGGTGGGCATGCAGACAGTGGAACTCTCTGCCCCGGAGTGTGGTGGAGGCTCCTTCTTTGGAAGCTTTTAAACAGAGGCTGGATGGCCATCTGTCAGGGGTGATTTGAATGCAATATTCCTGCTTCTTGGCCGAAAGGGGTTGGACTGGATGGCCCATGAGGTCTCTTCCAACTCTTTGATTCTATGATTCTATTATTATATTGTATGTATTCAGGGTTGAGACCCAAGGAGGAGATATTTATGCTATTATATATTACGCTATTACAGCATTTTATGCTATTATGTATATGTGTGTGAGTGTGTGTGTCTACATATATATATATATAATGCTATTACATTATGCTATTACAGCATTTTATGCTATTATGTATATGTGTGTATAATGTTATTATACATTATGCTATACAACATTTTATGCTATTATGTATATAGTATATATATAATGATATTACATTATGCTATAATTGCATTTTATGCTATTATGTAGTGTGTGTGTATATAGTGCTATTATACATTATGCTATTACAGCATTTTATGTGATTATGTATATGTGTGTATATAATATATAGATATAATGCTATTACATTATGCTATTACATCATTTTATGCTATTATGTATATGTGTGTGTATAATATATATAATGCTATTATACATTATGCTATATAATGTTATTATGTTATTTTACTACAGTAATTCATGCTATTCTGTATACGTGTGTGTGTGTATAATGCTAAAATACATAATCGCATATATATATATATATATATATATATATATATATATATATATATGCTATTATGTATTTTATGCATATATATGTATATATATATATAGAGAGAGAGAGAGAGCTCTTATTTGTGCTATAGCAAGATGTCCCTCTTGCAAAACCCAGGAACAACAAACCTAGTGTTCCACAGTGTTGTTGTTATTATCATTCTTACTCTTAAATGAAAAAGCTAACATGGTGGTTCTCATTCCTCTTAAGCTTCTCAAGCAGAAGGATCCCCCTGTGCTTGACCATTCCTCCAAGAAGAAGGAGGAGGAAGCCATAAGAGCAAAGGGAGTGATGCCGACCCCGAAGGAGAAGGAGGAAACGCAAAGAGGGGTCAATGGCGCTTTTGTGAAACCGGGAGCAGCCAAATCTGGAGGCAAGAAGGCAAAGAAGAGGCCTGCCTTGGGCCAAGAGGGTGGCAGGAAGAAAGGGGGACGACAGGCCCCGGAGGCACACAAAGGGCCGGAACCCGAGCCCCAGGCAGAAGAGTGAGTCTTCATGGCCTCGCCTGGCATCTCTTTCTGGGCAGAAGGGTGTCCTCTCTCTGAAGGGGGCTCTGTTTGCAGCTTTGCCTTCTTTCTTCCAGCATCTGGTTTGATGACGTTGACCCAGACGACATTGAGGCCGCCTTGGGGCCGGAAGTGGCCAGAGTGGCCCGGAAGAACCTGGGGATCAAGGAAAAGGAGACGAGGCTGGAGAAGGAAGGAGCCTTCGAGGGGTGAGTTCCCAGAAGGCCGGGCTGGTTGCCATTCGCTTCAGAATATAATATATTGTTGGGTCATGTTTATCTTGGTGTCCTCATGGACAACAAGTTAAACATGAGCCAACAATGTGATGCAGAGGGGGGAAAAAGCCAATGGGATTTTGGCCTGCATCAGTAGGAGTCTAGTGTCTAGATCCAGGGAAGTCATACTCCCCATACTCAATTCTGCCTTGGTTAAACCACACGTGGAATCACACTGTGTCCAATTCTAGTAAGGGTCTGTTACTCACTAGATATTTATTTATTTATTATTTGCAACATTTATATGCCACCCTTCTCACCCAGAAGGGACTCAGAGCAGCTTACAAGAAATATGTAAATGCAATATATTATGTTATTAGCATAGCACAATATTAGTATTATGTATTACTATATTGTACTATATCAGTATATACTGTAATGTTATTAGTAGTATTACACATAATATAAAATATACAGTGTTCCCTTGCTACTTCGTGGTTCGCTTTTCGCAGACTCGCCTTTTTTTGCAGGTTTTTGCCTCCCAGTTTATGAATGGTTGTCATTGCCCAGAGCAGTGTTCTAATCCCACCTCCTGGCAACGATAGAGTGTGGAAGGGGGTGTCACCCTTCCCTTCGGGAGAGGCAGCCAATCAAGACAGATTGCAAAGCAATGCAGAGATAGCTAGCAAAAAAAAAAGAAAGAAAAAAAGATGTGTGGTGCCTTCTGCCTCACCCTCAGAACGCGATATACATATATAGCATCCCACTTCGCAGATGTTCATTTTTTGCGGATGTTCCTGGAACATAACACCCATGATAAGTAAGGGAACACTGTAGAATAATAATAATAATAATAATAATATATTGTATTACATTATAATATTATCTATATTATATCGTATTGTAATGTATTACATTACTAGCTGTACCCGCCATGTGTTGCTGTGGCCAACCTTCCCTCCCTCTTTCTCTCCTTCCTCCTCTTTCCTTCTTTTTCTTTTTCTTTCCCTATCTCTTCTTTCTTCCATCTCTACCTGTTCTTTCCTCCCTTTCTTTGCTCTTTGGCTCCTTCCTTCCTTCCCTATCTTTTGTTCCTTCTCTCCTTCCTTCCCTCTCTTTTTCCTTTCACTTTTTTATTTCCTTCTCTCCTTCCTTGTTTCTCTCTTTTTTCTTTCCTTCTTTCCCTCCCTGCTTCTCTCCTTCCTTCCTTTCCTCTTTCCCTCCTTCTCTCGTTACTTCTTGACTGTCCCTTCCATTTAATATTGTATTTGTATCTTACATAGAAAGAAGGAAAGGAAGAAGGAAGGAAGGAGGGACAGGAGGGAAGGAAAAAGGAAGGGAGGGAGGGAAAGAAGGGAAGGAAGGAAAAGAAAGGAGGGACAGGGAGGAGAAGGAAGGAAGGAGGGAAAGAAAGGAGGGAGGGAAGGAAATGAAGGGGAAGGAAATGAAGAAAGGGAAAGAAGAAGGGAGGGAGGAAAGGAAGGAAGGGAAGGAAGGAAGGGAAGGAGGGAAAGGAAAGGAAGGAGAAGGAAAGAAGAAAAGGAAAGAAAGGAAGGGAGGAAAGAAGGGAAGGGAGGGAGAGAAGGAAGGTCCTTCATTCAAGCACCATGGACCTTCCTCGCCTCCTCCTCCTCCTCTCCTTCCTTGCTCCATTGCTGCTGCTGGCACTCATCCGCTCTTTCCTCTTCCAACAGGGAAAGGAGGAGGAGACTGCCCTCCTGACATAGGAGGGAAAGAGAAGGGGCTGCATGCTGCAAGCCTCCACCTCCACTCCACTCGCTTGTGTGTGTGTTGTGAATAACACAAACGAACATTACATTTTTATTTATATAGATAAGCACAGCACAGGAGACAAGATGGAACGGTCTTCCTGGCCCCTCTCCTCACTCTGTGTGTGTGTGTAAAGAGAGAGGGAGAAATGTTCTATATCTTGATAAACTACTGTCCATTCTTCTGAATGGCACTCGGTTTGCCCACTGGAGTCCCCTTTCCCTCCCACACAGCCTGACCAAAGTGGTGGCCCTGGACTGCGAGATGGTGGGGACGGGCCCCGACGGGGAGGACAGCGTGGCTGCCCGCGTCTCCGTGGTCAACCGTTTCGGCCGCTGTGTCTATGACAAGTTCATCCGGCCAAACGAGAGAGTGACCGACTACCGGACCAAGGTCAGCGGCATCCGGCCTAAGCACCTCAAGGCAGGTGGGGAGACCTCATCATTATTATGCTCTGCAGCTCTATAATGTTTATTACTGGGGTATCAATGTCCTTATTTCCTTATTACCAGTATTATTATATTTATTTATACCTCACTTTATCTCCCCAAAGGGAACCCAAAGGCATCAGCATACAATTATTATTATATTATTATATTTTTTTATTATTATAGCAGCTGGTTTTTTATGATGATGATTATAATGATGATAATAGCCTCAGAATTACAATAATAATAATTTAAACAATATAAGGTAAGGTCAAGGTTTTCCCCTGACATTAAGTTCAGTTGTGTCTGACTTGGGATTGGTGCTCATCTCAATTTCTAAGCCGAAGAGCCGGCATTGTCCGTAGACGCCTCCAAGGTCATGTGGCCGGCATGACTGCATGGAGTGCCCTTACCTTCCCTATTGATTTACTCACATATGGCATATTTTTGAACTGCTAGGTTGGCAGAAGCCGGGGCTAACAGGAGGAGCTCACCCCGCTTCCCGGATTCAAACTTGTGACCTTTCGATCAGCAAGTTCAGCAGCTCAGTGCTTTAACCCACTGCACCACCAGGGGCTCCTAAACATTATAATATATTATATATTATTCATATATTACATTATTTATATTATTATAGTATACCTATCTATATATTATCATCATCATCAACAACAACAACACAGTGTTCCTGGGTTGTGAATGTCCTTATTTCCTAATTGGTTCTATCCTAAAAAACATTTATAGAAAACTTTATGAAACTGCCAGAACTTTGTTTTTTGATGATGATAGCCGCAGAATTACAATATAATAATAATATTCTGGTCACTTCTGGTGTGATTTGAACCAGTGACCTTTTGGTCAGCAAGTTCAGCAGCTCAGTGGTTTAATCCACTGCGCCACCGGGGGCAACATTATTATATGATGTCTATATTATAATTATCATCAAAAACAACACTGTGTGACACTATGATTGTTGTTCCTGGGTTTTCAGTGTAATTTCCTTTTAGCAACAGAAGGGTAAACTTTGGGGTGCATCAATGTTGCAGAATGAAGGGACTTTAATTGACTTGGTTCAATGCTGTGGAGTGTTGGGGATGTAGTTTTGCAAGGCCTTGAACCTTTTCTTGATGCCTCTCCAAAGGACAAATCCCAGGATTGTATAGCATGGAGTCAGTGCAATTAAATGAGAGGTGACGTCCCTCAAAGAGGAATTTCTGAAGCAGCTTCCTCTTTGGCTTGGGCTCAGGGCTAAAATTATCACCGTATGACGCGAAACTCATGTGCTTCCTGATTTTGGTGAAGTCATTGAGCCCAAAAAGGGTAGGTAGGTAGGTAAGTGGATGGTTAGGTAGGCGGATGGGTAGATAGATAGGTAGATAGGTAGGTGGATGTGTGGATGGATTGATAGGTYAGTGGGATGGGTTGGGTGGGTGGGTGGGTGGGTGGATGGATGGATGGATGYATGGATGGATAGATAGATAGGTAGGTAAATGAATGYGTGGATGGATGGATGAATGGATGGACAGATAGGTAGATGGAMGGGTGGATAGATGGATGGATAGATAGGTGGATGGGTGGATAGATGGATGGATAGATAGGTAGATGGATGGGTGGATAGATGGATGGATAGATAGATAGGTAGATGGGTGGATGGATAAATGGATGGATGGATGGAAAGATAGATAGGTAGATGGATGGGTGGGTGGGTTGATAAATGGGTGGATGGATGGATTAATGGATTAATGGATAGGTAGATGGATGGATGGATGGATGGATGGATGGATGGATGGATGGACAGATAGGTTGATGGATGGGTGGATAGATGGATGGATAGATAGGTAGATGGGTGGGTGGGTGGATGGATAAATGGGTGGATGGATGGATTAATGGATAGGTGGATGGATGGATGGACAGATAGGTAGATGGATGGGTGGATAGATGGATGGATAGATAGGTAGATGGGTGGGTGGGTGGGTGGATGGATAAATGGGTGGATGGATGGATGGATGGATGGATGGATGGATGGAAAGATAGATAGGTAGATGGATGGGTGGATAGATTATTTATTTATTTATAATTTAAAGCTTTTATAATCCGGACTTCTCGACCTCCGAAGAGGGACTCAGGCCGGCTAACAGCAGGAAATTCATACACAAATAGAATAAAACATAATAGCATCGTAATACATTAATACATAAAATACATTAAAATACAGATCATACAATTACAAAAAGCCAGGTCATCAAAGTAAAATCACAAATTCATCACTATCCGCCGGTGTGGTCAGCAGTTATTGACTCGATCATCATTCTGCAAATGCTATATTCCGAAGCCAAGATTTTACCAGCTTTCTGAAAGTCAGGAGGGAAGGGGCAGATCTAATCCCCAGCAGGAGAGAGTTCCAGAGCCGAGGGGCCACCACCGAGAAGGCCCTTTCCCTCATCCCCACCAAACGTGATTGCGAGGGTGGTGGGACCAAGAGCAGGGACCCTCCAGAAGATCTTAACAACCTTGATGGTTCATAGGGGAGAATCCGTTCGGACAGGTAAACTGTGCTGGAGTCGTTTAGGGATTTATGACCTCAGCACCAGCACTTTGAATTGTGCTTGGAAGCTAATTGGCAGCCAGTGGAGCTGACGCAACAGATGAGTACTATGCTCCCTGTACCCCGCTCCTGTTAGTAATCGTTGTACTAATTGAAGCTTCCGGGCAGTCTTCAGAGGCAACCCCACACAGAGAGCGTTGCAATAGTCTATACGGGATGTAACCAGAGCGTGGACCACCGTGGCCAAGTTAGAGCGTGGACCACCATGGCCAAGGATAGATGGATGGATAGATAGGTAGATGGGTGGGTGGGTGGATGGGTAGATAGGTAGGTAGATAGGTAGAGGATTGATAGGTGAGTGGGATGGGTTGGGTGGGTGGATGGATAGATGGGTGGCGGATGGATGGATAGATAGGTAGATGAATGGGTGGATAGATGGATGGATGGGTAGGTAGATGAATGGTTGGGTGGATGGATGGGTAGATAGGTAGGAAGGGTGGATAGATAGATAGGAGGGTGGATGGGTGGGTGGATGGATAGGTAGGTAGGTAAGTGGATGGATTGATAGGTGGGTAGGTGGATAGATGGATGGATGGATACATAGGTAGATGGATGGGTGAATAGATGGATGGATAGGTAGATGGAAGGGTGGACGGACGGACGGACTGACAGATAGATAGATAGATAGATAGATAGATAGATAGATAGACAGATAGATAGATAGATAGATAGATAGATAGATAGATAGATAGATAGATAGATGAGGGATTAGTGAAGTACCTACAGTAAGCTTCGTAACCAAGCAGAAAAATGTCCCTGTTCCAAGACTATTAAACTTTGCTGAATTTCTCAGGTCAATGCATGGGATGGATGGATGGATGGATGGATAGATAGGTAGATGGATGAGTAGGTAGGTAGGTAGGTATGGAAGGGATGTAGATGGGTGGGTGGGTGGGTGGATAGATGGATGGATGGATGGATGGATGGATAGGTAGATGGATGGGTGGATAGATGGATGGATAGGTAGATGGAAGGGTGGACGGACGGACGGACGGACGGACGGACGGACGGACAGACAGACAGACAGACAGACAGACAGATAGATAGATAGATAGATAGATAGATAGATGGAAAGATGGATAGGTAGGTAGGTAGGTAGGTAAGTAGGTGGATTGATAGGTAGGTGGGTGGGTGGATGGGTGGGTGGGTAGATGGATGGGTGGGTAGATGGATGAATGGATAGATAGATTAATAGGTGGATGGATGGATGGATGGGATGGGTTGGGTGGATGAATGGATAGATAGGTGGATGGATGGATGGATGGATGGGAGGGTGGCTGGATGGATGGATAGTTGGGTAGATGGATAGATGGGTGGGTGGGTGGATAGACAGATACTGCAGTGCTGCATTTTGAGATTGCAGTACAGCGACCACGTGTGCACAGGCCAAAGAAAGGATGGATGGACACCCAGAGAGACATCAACGAAGACACCATTAATAAAGACATCAACCAGAGACCTGAGGAGGCCCAAAACAAAGCCCCGTGGAAACGACAGTCACAACGCTCAGCCCTCCATTGGGAAAAGAGCTTGGAGAGAAGAATTATTACTGGGTAGACGTCACCCTGACCCTCTGTTTCTGTGCCTCCTCCAGGTGAAGACTTCAAAGTGGTGCAGGCGGAAGTGGCCAGCATCCTGAAGGGGCGGATCCTGGTTGGCCACGCTGTGCACAACGACCTCAAGGTACGGAGCCCGGTTCTAGCCATTCTCCCCCCTTTCCCCATTCAAAGGACCCATAAATAACCCTCGAGGCCTTCCTCTTTGGCAAAAACCAAATGCTCGAGCGACACCTTTTGAGGGAAAACGGTCTCCTTTCAGATCCTGTTCCTTGACCATCCGAAAAAGAAGACCCGGGACACCCAGAAGTACAAGCCCTTCCGGCAGCACGTCAAGGTCAGGCTGGGCCATCATCTGTTGGGAGGGATTGGGTGGTGCTTGTCTTGCATAACAGCAGAAATGGAGTTGGACTGGATGGCCTCTGGGAGTCCCTGCCAGCCTTAGAATTCCATGATATATCTATCTTCTCTCTCTCTCCCTCTCTCTCTTAATTATAGCTATTACATGGGGTTGGACTGTATGGCCTCTGGGTGCCCCTTCCAACTCTAGGATCCTATGATAGATATGAACATAAGAGATGGAACTGGGTGGCCCTTGGGAGTCCCTTCCACCATTAGAAGCCTTTGCTTCTATAGCCCTATATCTCTTTGAATGTGGTAATGTTGATGAGGGTGGATGGTCATCTATTGGGAGGGATCTAATGGTGCTTTTCCCACCTAGAAGAAGGGGGTTGGACTGGATGGCCCTTGGGAGTCCTTTCCACCATTAGGAGCCTTTGCTTCTATAGCTCTATTTCTCCATGAATCTGCTGATACCTATGAGGTGGCCATCTGTCGGGAGGGATTCGATTGTGCCTCCTTTTATGGCAGGAATGGGGCAGGACTGGGTGGCCTTTGGGATCCCTTCCGATTCTAGGAGTCCATCCATGGTCCATGTGGTCTTTTCCAACTCTATTATGTTATGATTCTCTCTGTCCTCCTTCCTCTCCCTTTAGAGCGGGAAGCCTTCCCTGAAGCTGCTGTGCGAGAAGCTGCTGAATGTGAGAATCCAGACCACGGAACACAGCTCGGTAGGAGCCTTTTTGGGAGGAGAAGAAGAAGAGAGGGGATCAGTGGCAGTGGTGGTGGTGGGGGGGGGTACTGATGGCTGTTTGTCATCACATAATAGTCACACTTTTAAATCCCTTTTTTGGATCAAAAAAAGGGGGGTGCAACTATTACGCGATGCAAAAAAAATCTGTCTTTGAATTTCTGTTTTTTAGGGGTTTTTTTTTTTGTTTACACCTGAAAGGCAGGAAGATTTCCCCTCTTCCTTCTTTCTCCAAAGGCAAGACAGTTTGGAAAACCTGGAATGCAGCTCTTGGGAGGAAGAAGGGAAGATTCAAACCCCAAGGGCTCCCTTTTGTATTTTTAAAAACTGCCTTAAGGCAGGGAGGGAGGGAGGAAGAGAAGGAAAGGCATGGAAGAGGAAGGAAGGAAGGAAGGAAGGAAGGAAGGAAGGAAGAGGAAAATGAGGAAGGAAAAAACCTAAGGAAGGAAGGAAAGAAAGAGGAGCAAGGAAGGGAGGAAAAGGAAAAAAGGAAGAAATTGAAGGAAGGAAGAGCAAGGGAGGGGTGGAAGGAAAGAAGAGTAAGGAAAGAAGAGGAAGGAAGGAGAAGAAAATGGAGGGAATTAGGAGGAGGAGGGAGGGAGGAAAGGAAGGCGAAGGAAAGAAGGAAGAAAAAGAAGCAGGGGAAATGAAAGGAAGAGTAAGGAAAGAAGAGGAAGGAAGGAGAAGAATACGGGAAATTGAAGGAGAGAGGAAAGGAAGGGGAAGGGAAGAAGAGGAAGAGGGCGGGAAGGAAGGAGAAGAAGGGAGGTAGGGAAAGAAGGGGAAGAAAGGAAAGGAAGAGGAAAAAAAGGAGGAGGAAATCAGCCTCAAACAGCTCTGTGACTATTATGCGAGGAACAAAAAAATTACCATTTTTTTCCCACCCCAAAACTGGGAGCGCAACTATTATGTGAGGAAATTTTGCATTTTTCTTGACTGTTTTGGAGAGGGCCTTGCAGTGCCTTTGGAATTCCCCTGTGTGTGTGTGGGGGGGGGGGGGGGGGGTGTTTCCTCCTTTTGTTGTGTTGTGCCAGGCCTGGAAAGAATGCATTCCATGCGTTGCCTGTTTCCTGGTTCCAGGTGCAAGACGCACAGGCAGCCATGAGGCTGTACGTGACGGTGAAGCGGGAGTGGGAGGCCTCCCTCCAGGAAAAGAAGCAGCAGAAGCCGGCGCCCCCCAGAGGCAACAAGGACTGAGCCGGACTTTCCCCCCTTCCTCCCTCTTTGTGCCCTTTTCTGAAACACGACCCTTTCCTGCCCACTGACCGTCACATTACTATTTTGCAAATACAGTTTCCCTGTTTACAGTATTGTTCACTGATCCGCCTCCATCTTTGTGGAATTCCTTATATTGTTTTCCCAGGTCAGTAAGCAGGTTCTGCAAAATCAGGACATGTGCGTTGATTGACAACATATAACAACACTTTAATAACAACGTTTGTAAACCCCTAAATTTCATAAATTAAACGCCCCACCGCAACAGAAAATAGACGTCCCCCACAACCATTTCTCTGGAAGTAGATGCAGAAAAGGACAAACTCAAGTGTCCTATGGGAAGGAAGCAAGGAGGGAAAAAGGTGTGTTATTATCATTATTATAAATAGGATAATTTCCAAGTGTTATTATTACTCTTGTTTTATGTTTTCCAAGTATATTAGTATTACTAGTAGTAGTACTAGTAGTATTTTAAATAGGATAATTTCCAATAATTATTACTGTTATTTTATATTTTCCAAGTGTATTATTATTGTTATCATTGCTATTATTATTTTAAATTAGATAATTTCCATTATTGTTATTACGTTAAATAGGATAATTTCCAAGACTATTATTATTATTATTAGGATAATTTCCAAGTGTATTATTATTACTATTTTATATTTTCCAAGTGTATTATTATTATTATTATTATTATTATTATTATTATTTTAAATTAGATAATTTCCATTATTGCTATTATTTTAAATAGGATAATTTCCAAGATTATTATTATTATTAATAATAATAATAATATAATACTTTCCAAGTTGATTATTATTACTATTATTTTATATTTTCCAAGTGTATTATTATTATTATTATTATTTTAAATTAGATAATTTCCATTATTGTTATTACGTTAAATAGGATAATTTCCAAGATTATTATTATTATTAGGATAATTTCCAAGTGTATTATTATTACTATTTTATATTTTCCAAGTGTATTATTATTATTATTATTATTATTTTAAATTAGATAATTTCCATTATTGCTATTATTTTAAATAGGATAATTTCCAAGATTATTATTATTAATAATAATAATAATATAATACTTTCCAAGTTGATTATTATTACTATTATTTTATATTTTCCAAGTGTATTATTATTATTATTATTATTTTAAATTAGATAATTTCCATTATTGTTATTACGTTAAATAGGATAATTTCCAAGATTATTATTATTATTAGGATAATTTCCAAGTGTATTATTATTACTATTTTATATTTTCCAAGTGTATTATTATTATTATTATTATTTTAAATTAGATAATTTCCATTATTGCTATTATTTTAAATAGGATAATTTCCAAGATTATTATGATTATTATTATTAATATAATACTTTCCAAGTTGATTATTATTACTATTATTTTATATTCTCCAAGTGTACTATTATTATTATTACTATAAATTAGATAATTTACAAATCTATTATTATTATTATTATTATTATTATTATTATTATTATTATTGTTTTGAATAGGATAATTTCCAAGCTGTTGAGGAATTTATTTTTCTAAATAAATTGTATTTGGAAATGGCTCACCGTCTTGTGCAGCTTGGCAAGCGCTTTTTCAGCCAGATCGACAATTTCCTGAGGAGAGAGAGAAAAGCAGGAAAAACGGCAACAGGTATTAGGTGTCCATTGCTTGGCCTTTTCACCTTTAATAATGAATTTATTATCTGGCATTATTATTATTATTATTATTATTATTATTATTATTATTATTATTATTATTAGAATAAAAATAATGCCTCCAACTTTGTAACTCCTCAACAGATGGCAGTACGGTATGCGGCAGGTACTGGCTTGTTCAGTAGACTCTCCTCTACAGTTCCATTTTGGCAGGAAGCCTTAGCATTGAACGGTTGTGTTTTTAAAGTGCGAAGTATGGAACCCTGCGCAGACAGTCGGTCAGTGCGACTTAAGCAACATGCAGTCATTGAATTCTTGACAGCAGAAGGTGTCACCTCAACATCTTGAAACTTACTCGCCCAACGACACACAGTACTCACATCAACACAATCACCATAAACAACTTCCACTCCCCGATTAATCTCCTTTGGGGTGACACCTTCTGCTGTCAAGAATTCAATGACTGCACGTTGCTTAACTCGTATTGACAGACCGTCTGCCTGAGGCAAGTGTGAATGTTGCCACTGACCACCTTGATTAGCATTGAACAGCCTTGAAGCCTCAAAGCCTGGAGGGATCCTGATCCCTCCATCACTGATCACCTAGGGAACCTGATGAAGAAGCACTACTGACAAACTTATCTACAGACCCATCCAGAAAATCCAACCAGTGATGTCCAGGGTGGAAGAAAGAACTCTTTATCTGTTGGAAGCAAGTGGGAATGTTGCCATTGGCCACTTTGATTAGCATTGAACAGCCTTGCAGCTCCAAAGCCTGGCTGGTTGCTGCCTGGGGGAATCCTTTGTTGGGAGGTATGAGCTGGCCCTTATAGTATTCTCGAAGGCTTTCATAGCCAGAATCACTGGGTTGCTGTGCCTTTTCTGGGCTGTATAGTCATGTTCCAGAAGCATTCTCTCCTGACGTTTCACTCACATCTATGGCTGGCATCCTCAGAGGTTGTGAGGTCTGCTGGAAACTAGCAAAATGAGGTTTAAAGATCTGTGGAATAATATCCAGGGTGGGAGAAAGAATTATAAGTTGCTTACCTGTAACTGTAGTTTCCTTAGTAGTCACCTGCGAATGCATACAAGTGATATTCCCTGCGCTCGCGCAGCAGCATTCGGAACCTTCCAAATCAAAAATAATGACAGTTAGATAGGCCACGCCCCCTCCCTCTGGTATAAGTAGCCCGTGGGCGGGGCCAACCGTCAGTTCTCTTCCGCCGCAAAGCAGCCAGAAGACACGGCATGACACCTGAGGGGAGGAGGGTGGGTATGTATGCATTCGCAGGTGACTACTAAGGAAACTACAGTTACAGGTAAGCAACTTATAATTTCCTTACGTAGTCCCTGCGATGCATACAAGTGATAGATTAGCGAGCTACTGACCGTGGTTGGTGGGAGTCATGCCACCGCCGAAAAAAGCACCGCCCTGCCGAACTCGGCATCCTTCTTAGAAGCGACATCCAACTTGTAGTGTGAGACGAAAGACAGTGGAGTCGTCCAGATGGCCGCCCGGCAGATGACATCTAACGGCACTCCTCTCATGAAGGCCGCAGTAGTTGACATGGCTCTGGTGGAATGGCCTTTGACCTGTAACGGTAAGTTCTTGCCAGCTAATTGGTAGCATAATTTAATAGTCGATACAATCCAAGAGGAAAATCTGTGAGACGTCAAAGGTAAGCCCTCCATGTCTTTACGGTACTTAACAAAGAGACGTGGAGTCTTCCTCAGTGRTGCTGTTCTGTCAGRATAAAAAGCTATGGCTCTTCTTACATCTAGATAGTGCAGTGTGCGTTCCATAGGTGAAGATGGATTTTGAAAAAATGATGGGAGCACTATGTCCTGAGACATATGGAAGAAAGAGGAAACCTTTGGTAAAAAGGCAACATCTGTTCTAAGTACCACCTTGTCCTTATGTATTCTCAAGTACGGAGGGTCCACCCTTAAAGCACACAGCTCACTAGCGCGTCTTGCCGACGTGATAGCTACCAAGAACGCCGTCTTCCAGGACAGGTAAGAGATGTGCGTGGTAGCTAAAGGCTCAAAAGGTGGTTTTGTCAAATATGTTAGCACTAATTCAAGGCTCCAGGATGGAGGTACCGGGGCTACCGGAGGCCTAGTGTTTGCCATACCTCGTAGGAAAAGCCTAACTAGGGGGTGAGTAAAACATGACGGATGCCCGTCCTTCCTACGGAACCAGGAGATTGCCGCCAGGTAACATTTGAGAGATGAATGGGACAACCCTTCCTCCGCCAGATACATTAGAAAATCTAACACTACTTCAATTGGTGCTGTTATGGGAGTTACACCTTTCTTTTGAGCAAACGCACTAAACCTCGACCACTTATATACATAGGATTTTTTTGTTGACGCTTTGTGGGCCGCTTCTAGAATAACTTGGACACCTTTTGATAAATTCGAAAAAGGGGTTAGTGGCTCGGCTGTATTTTCCAAGCTGTCAGCCGTAGGTCCTTTACATCTGGGTAAAGCACCTTGCCTCCTTGTACCGACAGTAGATCTACCCTGTTGGGGAACCTGAAGAAAATCCTTCTGGACATTTGTAGTAGAGGTGCGAACCAGGGCTGTCGTGGCCACCATGGGGTGACCAGGATGCAGCTCGTGTTCTCCCTCTGCATCTTCGCCACCACTTTCAGCAACAAGGGAAAGGGTGGGAAGGCATACATCAGGCGACCCGACCAACATTGCAGGAAGGCGTCCCCCAGACAACCGTCCTGCAGACAAACTTTCTGTCGTGCGCAGAAAAGGGCGCATTTCGCATTGGCCGTGGACGCGAAGAGGTCCACTTCCGGATGGCCCCAAGCTCTGAAGAGTCTGGTGGCCTCCTCCTGATTGAGGGCCCACTCGTGATTCGCCAGAGATTTCCGGCTGAGCGAGTCTGCCAATGTATTGTCTTCCCCCGGAACATGTGTTGTTATTAGGTGGATGTCTCTCTCCAGACACCATTCCCAAATCCGGAGAGTGAGATCCAACAGGGGAAGGGAGTGAGTTCCGCCCTGTTTGTTTAAATAAAACATGACCGTGGTGTTGTCTGTTAGAATGTGGACGGTCTGTCCCTCTACGATCTTTTCGAAGGACTTTAGTGCTCTGTCTACTGCGAGTAGTTCGAGAACGTTTATATGTGACGTTCTTTCTTTCTCTGTCCACTCGCCTTGAGCGGTGAGACCTTGTGTATGGGCACCCCATCCCAAGAGGGAAGAGTCTGTTGTAATTATGCAAGTACCCTCGGGGGCATGGAACGGGAAACCTCTGCACACCCACTCCTTGTCCTCCCAACACCGGATGGAATGCCGGACAGATTCGGGAATGGATAGACGGGTGTTCTGTTTGTGCAGCAGTGGGTTGTATGCTGAGATGAACCAATACTGAAGTTGGCGCATACGCAGTCTGGCATACGGCACCACTGCAGTAGCAGAGGCCATGTGACCCAGGAGTGTTTGGATTTGTTTTGCAGTAAGGTATGGTGCAGAAATTGCCTGATGGACCAAGGCCTGAAGTTTGACAAAACGGTCGTCCGGAAGGTAAGCCCTCTCGGTCGTGGAGTCCAAAAGGGCCCCTATGAAGTGGATTTGTTGAGATGGGGTCAGGACCGACTTTTCCACGTTGATCATCAGGCCTAGGGACTGCATAAGAGACAAAACAATAGAAAGATGCGATTCAATCTGGGCCCGCGAGTTGGCTACCAATAACCAATCATCAATATAGGGGAATAAAGACACGCCCCTTGTATGTAGGTAAGCAGACACAACGGACATACATTTAGTGAATACCCTTGGGGCAGAAGACAACCCAAAGGGTAGTACGTTAAAACAATAAGGGGTATTTCCCACCGTAAAAGAAAGGTATCTTCGGTGGTGTTTGGCAATGGACAAGTGGAAATAGGCGTCCTTTAAATCTATGGTTGCAAACCATGCCCCTTCGAATAGTAAGGGCAAAATGGTAGTTAGAGTGACCATGCGAAATCTTTTCTGTTGAACGTGTTTATTTAACGATCTGAGGTCCAGAATAGGCCTTAGGCCACCAGTGCGTTTCTTAATGAGGAAATAACGTGAGAAATAACAACATGAAACATCAACTTCTTTAATGGGAGATATAGCCCCCTTGCTTAGCAACAACTGAATTTCATCATTTAACGGTTTTGAGAAAGGAGTTTTACGAATGTGACCCACTCTGGGGAGATCCATAAATTCAATAACATAACCCTGGTCAACAATAGAAAGGACCCACTTATCCGTGGTAATCATGGCCCACACGTTATAAAATGATGACAACCTGTCACCAAACAGACACAACTGTGATGTAGACGTAAAAGAAACAACAGGAACTATTGAAATACTAGTAGGATCAATGCTGTCTGACCCAAGAGAAGACATGTCATCGACAGTTTCGTCAAAGACGCTTCTTTTGATTCCCCTGTGGTTTCCCCCTGGGTGTCCAACTCTGGGATCTTCCTCTGGAAAAAAAGGAGCCTCTCCTATTAGGCTGAAAACGATTAGTGGAGAAATTGCGGCCCCTATATGATCCAGAGAAAGAGTTACCGGAACTCCTCCGGAAATTCGAAGTGTAAGGATGCCACCGTTGTTTCTGCTGGGGGTAAGGTTGCCATGTAAACCCAAATTTATTTGCTGCCTGGCGTACATCCTGTTTCTCTTTGATCCTGACATCTGTGTCCGGATTAAAGAGGCCCTCTTCATGGAAGGGCATGTCTTCAGCTAAAGCCCTTCCCTCTTCAGACAAATTTGAAGAACGCAGCCAAGCATGGCGGCGAATCGAAGTTGCAGTCGAATATAAGTTTCCTGCCATCTCTGCCAGGTGTTTCGCAAAATCCTTCTGTGCTTTAGATAACACAATAGCCTCTGCTTGCAATGCTTTAGGGAAGCGCTGTCTATCAACTGGTAACAACTCAATGGATGGCAGTATTTTAGCCCATAAAAAACTTTGATAACCACTGAGGTAAGTAGCATAATGCGCCATGCGAGTGAGGAGGCCTGCGCAGAGATGTGCCTTTTTACCTAAGGTATCGACCTTCTTCCCCTCCCTGTCTGGTGGGGTTGTGAGGGAGTTTTTTGGGCGTTTTGTTTTAGCAACTTCAGCCACTACAGTATTGGGCTTTGGAGGAGCAACCACCCACTTATGACCTGAGACATCAATTTTGTATAATACATCAAGCCGTCTTGGAATAGCCGGCACCAATGTGGGTGACATGTCTGCTATACGTGCCAATTTCAGTAAATATGGTAACACAGGTAAAACAGTAGCTGGGGATGAAATTTGTTCCTCCGAAGGGAACATCGGATCATCCACGTGATCAGGTGTCTTTGGGGCTGGAAGATCCAAGGCTCTGATCATCCTTCCTATGAGTGCATTGAACTTATTAAACTCAGCTGACTGTATGACTGCAGCTGCATCATTGTCTCCCTGACACAAATAGTCTGGCATGTCAGAATCTTCTGAAGCACTGTTTATGTGCCCGGACACGCGTTGCATTTCCTCAACCTGAGATGTAGTATCATAGCATTGAGGAGTTGAAACCCCCCGTGCCAGAGTGGATGCAGGGTCGTCACCTTGTAGATTGTCAACAATTCCATTTGCAACGGACTCCTCACCAACAGGCTGTTGAGTAGTCAACACGGTAGATGGAGGCTGAGTCTGTACATCATGCGACACATGATGAGGTCTGAATTCAGCTGCCGCTGATGTGGAAGGACCCTGAATATCAGCTGGGTGCACTCTCAAATCATGAACCCTTCTCTGGGGCAGAGTATGTCCTCGTTTATCTCTTGAGGTATGTGGAGATTGGACAAGTGCGCCTTGTTCCATACAGCTCTCACAGTAGCATCTCGGATATGGATGGCAATCCATGGGGTGTCCTCCCCAAGGAGGCGGATACGGATAGAAATGACGCCTATGCCGCTTCTGTCGCCTCGAGCGTCTTGATCGTGGGGAAGGAGAGCTAGAAGATGAGGAGGATGAGGTAGATGATGATGAAGATGGGGAGCGTCTGTGGCTTCTTCTGGAGCCCCCTCGATCCCTACGGTGGCGAGATCTTGAGCCAGGTCTAGAGGGGGACCTCGAACGCCTCGGGCGCTTGCTGCCCCTTCTAGAGGCGCGATCACGCCCCGTCTCTTCAGAACTGCGTCCTGTTGTGCTCTGTATCGAAGCAGCAGGCTGTAACAGCTGATCGCCCCTCTGTATGGGAGGAGCGACAGTCGAGCGTCCTCCCTCTTCCATGTCCTCGACATCGGCAGGCGGAGTCCTAGCAGCGCGCTCCGCCTCTAAAGTATGGCCGGCTGGTGTGGGCGGAATTGCGCATGTGCGCTCAGTTGCGCATGCGCGCTCAGTGTTCATCCCAGCCTCGACATCGGCGCTTACAGCTCGATATGCAGGGAGGCTGCCGATAGCGGCAGGAGTCTCTTTCTGGCCTTGCAGTGAGAGAGGTAAGGCTGCTCTCGAAGCCAAGGCAGTTTCCTCCACCCTGGAGGGTGGTTGGTTAGGCGACAGCATCGGCATAGGAGGGGTAAGTCTCAATGGCCTCACGTCCCCCTCGCGCTTCTCCGATATCGATACCGGAGTGGCTGTAATGTTCCCATCAGCCACCAGAGGGAGACCTGATTCACCGTCCCTCGGCCTCGAAGATGGAGCTTTAACCTGATGGGCAGTTAACGAGCTGCCCTTCGTCTCCACAGCTGCCGCTTTTTTTCCAGCGGTTAAACGGCCCTCCTGAGGGATTTTATCCTTCACTTTCTTAACCTTCTTTATAGTTGCCGTAGCAGAGTTCGCCTCAGGCAAATCGATCCTTATCGGATCTGATGAAGGTAGAAGTGCCCTTTCATAAAGAGCCGCCTTCAGTCTCAAAATCCTGTTCTTCCTAGTCTGCGGCGTGAACGCTTGACAGACTGAACAGGATTGATAAAGGTGAGCTTCACCGAGGCAAGCCAAACAAAGCTCATGGCCATCATTGTCTGGCAGTATATTAGGACATTTCATACATTTCTTAAAAGAACTAGTTGCCATGATGACAAATGAAGTACTCTTTAGTCCAAACCTAGCTCGCCAGAGATAGGAGGTTCTCCGCTGCTTTGTTCAGAGCGGATAAAGAGAACTGACGGTTGGCCCCGCCCACGGGCTACTTATACCAGAGGGAGGGGGCGTGGCCTATCTAACTGTCATTATTTTTGATTTGGAAGGTTCCGAATGCTGCTGCGCGAGCGCAGGGAATATCACTTGTATGCATCGCAGGGACTACGTAAGGAAACTCTATGTTCTTGCTGGTTTTATATTATCGTATATACTCGAGTATAAGCCAACCCGAATATAAACCGAGGCACCTAATTTTACCACAAAAAACTGGGAAAACATATTGATTCGAGTATAAGCCGAGGGTGGGAAATGCAGCCATTACAGGTAAATTTCAAAATAAAAATAAATACCACTAAAATTACATTAATTGAGGCATCAGGCGGTGAAATGTTTTTTTAATATTTACACAGAACTGTAATTTGAGATAAGACTGGCCAACTCGGATTAAATCATTACATATCTTCAATGTAAATGTACTTACGTATCCTTCCAACAATAATAGAGTTAAATAAATAAACAAATAAATAATAAAGTAAAATAATAAATGTAATAATAATAATAGAGTAAAATGCTGTAAATGTAATAATGACAGTAAAATAATACATGAAATTAAAATAATATTAATAACAGTAAAATAATAAATAACTTTGACTCGAGCATAAGCCGAGGGGAGCTTTTTCAGCCTAAAAAGGGGGCTGAAAAAGTAGGCTTATACTCGAGTATATATAGTATATGTTAATTGTTTTTTAATAGTAATTTATGTTGTTGGGGGCATCGAATTGTGCTGACTGTAAACCGCCTTGAGTCACCTTCGAGAAAGGTGATATATAAATATGGTAAATAAAATAAACAATAATAATTGTCTGTTGGAGAATGTTGCAAATGGCCACCTTGATTAGTACTGAATGGCCTCGAAGCTTCAAAGACTGGCTGATTCGTGCCTCGGGGAATCCTTTGTTGGGAGGCGATTAGCTAGCCCTGAAAACTGCTACGCCATTCAATGCGAATCAAGGTGTCCATTTGCAAGCTTCATACTTGCCTCCAATAGACAAAAGTTCTTTCTCCCACCCTGGATATCATTCCTCAGGGATATAAACTCAATTTTCTTAGTTTCCAACAGACCTCACAACCTCTGAGGATGCCTGCCATAGATGTGTGCGAAACGTCAGGAGGGAATGCTTCTGGAACATGGCTAAACAGCCCGAAAAACTTACAGCAACCCAGTGATTCTGGCCCTGAAAGCCTTTGACAACACATAGTCATTGGGAAACTAGAGCCATATCTGCTCTAGCGGGATGTTTCTGCAGTTTAATAAACTTTTTCCGCATTTTTATGATAGAACCAATTAGGAAATGACATTGATAACCCAGGAACAAAAATGTGACATACATAAATATATATAAATTTTATATATATATATATATATATATATATATATATATATATATATATATATATATATATATAATAACAACAACAACAACAATATTAGGATATTATATAATATTATATAATAATATAGTATTATAATTCTAATATAATTGTGCTATTCTGTGCCTTTGGGATGATCATTGAGTGGCGTATGGGCATTCCTGCCGCTTACTGACCAGGCTGGAGGTGAACCGGTCCTTCATTTCGCTCAGCATTTCCGCCATGTTCTGGGAGGCCATCTCCACCACGATTCCGTCTGCGGTTCAGAAAGGAAGAAGGGAAGAAGAGAGGCATTTCAGTGCAGGGTGAAGGGGAGATGGCCATCTGTTGGGAGGGCTTTGATGGTGCTTTCCCTGCCTAGCAAAAGGGTTGGATTAAATGGCCCCTGGGGTCCCTTCCAACTATTATGATTCTATAATAATAACAATAGTAAAGGTAAAGGTATTCCCCTGACATTAAATCTAGTTGTGTCCAACTCTGGGACTCTGATGCTCCATTTCTAAGTCAAAGAGCCGGCGTTGTACGTAGACACCTCCAAGGTCATGTGGCCACTGGCATGACTGCATGGAGCACCATTACCTTCCCGCTGGAGCAGTACCTATTGATCTACTCACATTTGCATGTTTTTGAACTGCTAGGTTGGCAGAAGCTGGGGCTAACAGTGGGAGCTCAGCCCACTTCCTGGATTCAAAACTTTCGGTCATCAAGTTTAGCAGTTCAATGGTTTAACCCACTGCGCCGCCAGGGGCTCCATAGTAACAATAACAATAGTAAACTGTAAGTTGCTTCTGGTGTGAGAGAATTTGCCGTCTGCAAGGATATTACCCGCATGTGTTCCCATCCTGTGGGAGGCTTCTTTCATGTCCCTGCATGGGAAGGTGGGGCTGACAGTTGGGAGCTCTCCCTGTCTTGCAAATTTGAACCGCTGGGCACAAGGGTTTATGCTATGGAATTGTGAGCACTATGGCCACCCTGTCCTTTGCTCCCAGCAACAAAATAAGTCCGCTTGCTACCCGGTTTCTACTCAACTAAAGAAAGTCAGAACGCCGTCATGAGACCTTTCTCCGCCCTGGCTGCCCACCGTATTTGAGCATCTCCTGGACGAGGAGGCAGAGGTCCTCCACGACTTCGGGGTCTTCGCGGTGCAGCCGGTAGATCTCCTTCAAGAGGCTCATCCCGCTCCCCGTCGCGTCGGTCAGGATAAAGCGGAATCCTGAGAGGTCTAAGGGAGAGAGTGTTGGGTTTCCTCCCTGGACTGCGCAAGTCTCCAGTCCTCAATGAGTAGCTAGACTTAGATATAGGATTAGAATGAGGGATTCCTCACCTCACATTCCTGCCTTGACTCTTCTTGCTTGCCACTATCTCCTCCCCTTTGAAGACGTAGCAATGGAATTTGTGAGGGATGAGGTAACTTCCTCTTTAAAGGTATCTTTATTGCCCTGGCTTGGCCTTGTGGTGATTCTGTATCGCCCTCTCTCTGCCTTTGTCTCCCTTCCTGTGAGGACGCATTTTGCCTTTCTCCAGGCAAAATGTAGCTGCATGGATACATTTGATAATTTATCCTTTCGCCTTCTTTAGAAGATGAGCTTAGTAAGCTACGAGGGTTGAATGAAAAGTAATGCCTCCAGCTTCGTTACTTGGGTTTGGATGGGAATATTTTAATAAATCAAACGCAGAAATAATCCTTAGAATGTGCTCTTCAACTACTACTTTTCACTTTTCCACATAATCACCAGACAATTGGATACATTTCTGCCAACAATGAGCAAGTTTCCTGAAGCCGTCAAAGAAGAAGTCGACACTCTGTTTCCGCAACCAGTTTCTCACGGTTCTCTTAACTACTATTCAGTTTTCCACATAATCACCAGACAATTGGATACATTTCTGCCAACAATGAGCAAGTTTCCTGAAGCCGTCAAAGAAGAAGTCGACACTGTTTCCGCAACCAGCGTCTCACGGTTCTCTCAACTACTATTCAGTTTTCCATATAATCACCAGATAATTGGATACACTTCTGCCAACGACGAACAAGTTTTCTGAAGCTGTCACTGAAGAAGTCGACACCATGTTTCTGCAACCAGTTCTTTCAACATCTTCATCAGAAGCATAATGATGTCCCCGCAGATCTTCTTTCATTATCGGGAACAGATGGAAGTCAGGTGGTACTAAATCTGGACTGTATGGAGGATGTCATACTGTCTTGAGATCCAGGCTTTGAAGTTCTCTTGTGGGGTGTGTTAATTTCAGGCGTCAGCATCCTGATTACCCATCGTGCACAGATTTTCCGATAGCCAAGCAAAGCAATAATGTGACCCATACGTTCTTGTGAAATGCCAATTATGCTTGAAATTTCTCTCTGAGAGATACGACGATCGTCCTGAATCAATCTGTCAACCTTTTGCTTGTGAAACTCGGTGGTTGCTGTCACAGGACGTCCAACTCTTTGTCACGCAAGTCAGATGTTCCCACCTCAACATCTTTAAACTTACTCGCCCAACAATGCACAGTACTCACATCAACACAATCACCATAAACAGCTTGCATTCTCTGAGGAATCTCCTTTGGGGTGACACCTTCTGATGTCAAGAATTCAATTACTGCACGTTGCTTAAGCCGCATTGACCGACCGTCTTTGCAGGGTTCCATACTTGGCACTTTAACAACACAACCATTCAATGCTAAGGCTTCCCGTCAAAATGGAACTGTAGAGGAGAGTCTACTGAACAAGCCAGTACCTGCCACATACCAGCACTGCCATCTGTTGAGTTACGAAGGTGGAGGCATTACTTTTCATTCAACCGTAGTGGTTAGCTCCAAGACCCTTTTCTATCTAGAATGGATGTCTTTTTACTTCAATAAATATATTTTTAACCTAAAGTTCAATATTCAATAAATATTTTGAACCTAAAGTTCTGTCTGTGTAATCCTGTTCCATCCTGTTAAATGGAAGCTAATCCTGGCTCACCACGCATCAGCTTCTGCTTCTGGCGCTCTGCTGTGTTTTTGGTGGCATCACCCCAACTGAGAGTTATTTTGAGCCTAACAGCTCAAAATAACAAAGGGTTATGGGCCCAGAACGCTTTGGGGAGAGCCACCCTTTCTTCTTCCTTTGCCTCCTCTTCCCATGCCTTCCCCCTTTCCCCTGATACCTGAGGTCCGGAGGAGGGCGGCCAGGGCCAGGCAGGCGTTCTTGGCCAGGATGGGGCGCTCCTTGTGCCGCCGAAGGGCCTCCATCAGCAGCAAGGCGTAAGGGTCGTGGGCCTCTTCCTCCGCAATACCTGCAGCCAGGCATCAGGCAATGGCAATCATGGCTGTTCCCGCATTGGGCAAATAGCAGAATCCCAGAGTTTGAAGAAAGACACCCCCCCCCAAGGCCATCCAGTCCCATCACCTTTCTGCCAGGTGAACCCCATCTGATCCCTCCCGACAGATGGTCATCCAGCCTCATGGGCATTATAAGGGTTCAAGGAGAAATAGGGCTCTAGAGTAAGAAGGGGCACCCCAAGGGGGCCACCCAGTCCAACCCCCTTCTTTCTGCATAAAGGAAGGCACAACCAAAGCCCTCCCAACAGATGGCCATCCAGCCATAGATATGATAGATAGAGATCTATGGATTGATGATTGATATAGGGGCACCCCAAGAGGGCCACCCAGTCCAACCCCTTTCTTTTTGCCATAAAGGAAAAAAAACAATCTGATCTCTCCCAACTGATAGACATCCAGTTACAGATATAATAGATAGGTGGATGGATAGATAGATAGATAGATAGATAGATAGATAGATAGATAGATAGATAGATAGATAGATGGATGCATGGATAGATGCATGGATAGATGCATGGGTAGATGGTAGATGGGTGGGTGGGTGGGTGGATGGATGGATGGATAGATAGACAGATAGATACATGGATAGATGCATGGATAGATGCATGGGTAGATGGTAGATGGGTGTATGGATGGTAGATGGGTGGATGGATGAATGGATGGATAGATAGATAGATAGATAGATAGATAGATAGATAGATAGATAGATGCATAGATAGATGCATGGATAGCTGGACAGTGGATCGATGGATGGATGGATAAATGGATGCATGAATAGATGCATGGATGGATGGATGGATAGATTGACAGATTCGTAGATGGATGGGTAGATAGATGGATGGATGGATGGATGGATGGATGGATGTGTGGATGGATGGATGGATGGATGGATATAGACAGACAGACAGACAGATAGATGGACAGATAGATGGGTAGATAGATGGACAGATTGATGGATGGATAGATAGATATATGTGAATGAGATAGATAGCTGTATATATAATAGATATAGAATCCTAGAGGTGAGAGGAAATATGAAAGGCCCTCCAAGACACCATGAAAGCCTTCCCAACAGATGGCCATTCAGCCATAGATTGATGGCCATAGATATGATAGATATCTGTATATAAAATAGATATAGAATCCCAGAGTTGGAAGGGACCCCATCCAATCCCTCCCGACAGATGCCCACCCAGCCTCATAGGCATTAGGAGAAGAAGGGCTCTAGTCAGAAGGGACCCCCCAGAGACCACCCAGTCCAAACCAATTCCTTCTGCCATAAAGGAAGGCACCCCCAAAGCCCTCCCAACAGATGGCCACAAGCGGAGTCTGCTCACCGTGAAGGGCCAGGGCCCAGAAGGCACAGCAGGCGGCTTCGGCCACTTCGCCGTGCTCCATGTTGCCGTGAAGGACGAGGGCCACGGCCTCCAGGGCCTCCTTCAGTGGGACTGCGGCCGGGTTCGTCACTGGACACACACACAGAGAGGCCTCCTGGTGCAAATGTCTCCCTCTGCTCTCCTCCAATCCCCTTCCTTGTTAAGCTGACCCTTCTGAAGGACACGCCCCTTTTTATGCAGATACCTCCCTGTTCTCCCCTTCTATCCCTTACATTGGGGATGATTTGAATAAAAATGAGCGTGCCCTTTAGAAGGAAGGGGATTGGCATTTGAATAAAAGGGGGCGTGTCTCAGAGAAGGAAGGGGATTGGAGGAGGGAACAGAGAGGCATTTGAATAAAAGGGGGCGTGTCTCCGAGATGGAAGGAGATTGGAGGAGGGAACAGAGAGGCATTTGAATAAAAAGGTTTGTGTCGCTGAGGAGGAAGGGGATTGGAGGAGAGAACAGATACATTTGAATAAAAAGGGGCGTGTCCCCGAGGAGTGTCACTCTAAGTGCAAGCAGGGGATTGGAGGAGAGAAGGGAGTGACAGTCACGCAGAGGAGCCAAGAGGGGAGGGCTTTCTTCCACCAATGCCCCCCACCTGCTTATCAGCGACCTCGGTGAGGACCGCATCCGAGTCCCATACTCACGGCTGGCCATCAGGCTCCAAATGACTCCGCAGCAGGAGAGGCAGACCTCCTTGTTGTGGGCGAAGCGGTGTAGGGCAGACAGCATTTCCGAGAAGACTCCCGCCTCCCGCAGTGCCTCCGCAGCCACCGCTGAGAAAGAAAAGACTTCATTCAGAGAGCGGTGTAACAATATAGGAAAGGAAAAGGGCCGATCTATCAATCTATCCATCTCCCTGGCGACATCTTGCCCCTCTCCATGCTCAGAGGAGGAGAACAAAAGAGGCAGTCCAGAAGCTTCTAGTGCCAGCAGTAGAGTCAATGAGCAATTATTACAGCAACAGAGTCAAGCCTGAAAAGATTATACAAGACCTTATTCAAAGAATTGCATTACTATCTATCGATCTATCGATCTATCGATCTATCGATCTATCTATCTATCTATCTATCTATCTATCTATCCATCCATCCATCCATCCATCAGGTAACATCTTGCCCCTCTCTATGCTCACAGAAGGAGAACAAAAGAGGTAATCCAGACGCTTCTAGTGCCAGCAGTAGAGGCAATGAGCAATTATTACAGGATCAGAGTCAAGCCTGAAAAGATTATACAAGACCTTATTCAAAGAATTGCATTACTATCTATCTATCGATCTATCTATCTATCTATCCATCTCTCAGGTAACATCTTGCCCCTCTTTACGCTCACAGGAGAACAAAAGAGGTAATCCAGAAGCTTCTAGTGCCAGCAGTAGAGGCAATGAGCAATTATTATAGTTGACATCTCCAAGGCCATGTGGCATGACTGCATGGAGCACCATTACCTTCCTGCTGGAGCAGTACTTATTGATCTACTCACATTTGCATGTTTTTGAACTGCTAGGTTGGCAGAAGCTGGGGCTAACAGTGGGAGCTCACCCCCACTCCCTGGATTCAAACCTGTGAGCTTTCAGTCATCAAGTTTAGCAGCTCAGCATCAGAGTCAAGCTTGAAAAGATTATACAATACATTATTCAAAGAAATATATTACTATCTAACTATCCCTCAGGAGACATCTCGCCTCTCTCCATGCTCACAGGAGAAGAGCAAAAGAAGCAGTTCAGCATGAGCTTTGGCAATTATTACAGGAGCAGAGTCGAGCTTGAAAAGCGACAAAAGACTTTATAGGAAAGGAAAGTGCCTATCTATCTATCTATCTATCTATCTATCTATCTATCTATCTATTTCTCTGTCAACGCTTCTAGCGCCAGCAGTAGAGCCATTGGGCTCCAGCAATTCACAAGAGCTTGAAAAGTTATTTATTGAAAGAACTACATGTCAGAGTTTTATATCAATTGAGTCATTTCTTAAGTGAAAAAGTGAGTAAGTATTTGTAAGGACCATGTCCAAGCATTGCATGAAGAGCAACTGTTAAGCCACCTGTGATAGATTAGATGCTACAAATTGGGACTAAGTACTGTGTATTGTAGAGAGAAGAGAATGTAGAGAAGAGACTGGAGAGTATTGAGTAGAGCAAGAGCAAGAAGAGATTGCTGAAGAAGCTGAAGAAAGGTTTGCTGGAGGATTGAGGATTGAAACTATTTTTGTGAGTATTGTATATAAACATTTCTTTATTGAAAAAGAGTTTGTCTTTTGTTGATTGTTCTCCTTGGGCAACGGGGCGCAGCTTCCGGAAAGGGGGTTTGGATGCTTAGAATCAACCCCAACTTTAAAGCAGCGACACTATAGCTGCGACATGGGTTATGGGCCCAGCTGTGCCCGCCGTACCAGCAGTACCAGCAGCCCCGTCTAGGAGACTCTAAAGCTCAGAGTTTCTATAAAGACTGTTTAGTGGTTGTGTTTGTTGAAAGAAAAGATTGGAAGATATGTCTCAAAGTGGAAGTGGTGCTTTGCCACTAGAGAGACTGAATTCTTCCAACTACTCGTCGTGGGCAGTGAAGTTAAAGTATTTTCTCATCAGAGAGAATTTATGGGACATTGTTGAGAATCCTCCAGGAGCAGGGGCAAATGCAGCGGAATTGAGAAACGATGAGAAATGTAAAGCAAACACTATTCTTGCTGTGGAATATAGCCAACTCACGTATCTGAGGAATGCTACAACAGCGAGAGAATGTTGGGAGCATCTGCGGAGTCAAGATAAAATTATCTTGACGAGACGTCTTTATAATTTAAAGTTAAAAAGGCATTTGTCACCCTTGAACTTCCTTGTGTTCGTTTTGGCCCATCCTCTCTCTAATCTGTGAAGATCATTTTGAATTCTGCTCCTGTCTTCCAGAGTATTGGCTCTCCCTCCCCATTTGGTCCTGTCTGCAAACTTGATGATCCTGCCTTCGAATCCTTCATCTAAGCCATTAATGAAGATCCTGAGCAGGAACCTTGCTTGTGGCACTCCACTCGTCACTTCTTTCCAGGATTAAGAGGAAGCCTTGGGAAGAATCATCCTCTGGGTTCGTTTGCTTAACCAATTACAGATTCACTTAACCGTAGTTTTGCCTAGCTCACATTGGACTAGTTTCCTTGCCAGAAGGTCATGGGGGGGCCTTGTCAAAGGAAGGCCTTCCTGAAATTCAGATACGCTCCATCCACATAACAATTGGGTTCAAATATATGGTTTGTTTGATATACCAACTGGACATGAAATAAATTATGGGATCATCTGCATATCCATGTCACCGCTTCCAGTCTCACCCTCCAAGCTTCTAGTGCCAGCAGTAGAGCCATTGAGCTTTGGCCATTTACAGGAGCAGAGCCAAGCTTGAAATGGTATACAAGACTTCCTTCAAAGAACTACATAACTAGATAGGAAAGCTAGAGGGCACTGCTATTCATCTAAGCTCCTAGCTCCTGCCAACCTAGCAGTTCAAAAAATGTAATGTGAGTAGATCAATAGCTACCGCCTCAGCGGGAAGGTAAAAGGCATCCATGTAGCCATGCTGGCAAACACGACCAGGAGGGTCTACGGACAACAGGCTGCTCAGCATGGAAAATGGAACAAAAGCACCTCCCACTGGCCAGAGTTGAGCATTGCCTCCAGACACCGGAGATGGAGAGGGAACCTTTGCCTTTGTTTGCCTATTGTATGTCATTGTTCACTGTATACAAGGCATCGAATGTTTGCCTATATATGTGTCCCCTTGAGGAGATAGAGTGGCATATAAATAAAGTGTATTATTATTATTATCATTACTATTATTACAGTGTTCCCTCACTACTTTGCAGTTCGGTTTTCGCAGACTCACTGTTTGGCGGGTTTTTGCCTCCCAGTTTATGAATGGTTGCTGTTGCCCAGAGCGGCGTTCTAATCCAGACTCCTGGCAACGATGGAGTGTGGAAGGGGATTTCACCCTCCCCCTTGGGAGAGAGGGAGCCAATCAAGAGAGATTGCTAAGCAAAGCAGAGATAGCTAGCCAAAAAAAAAAAAAGGTGTGTGGTGCCTTTAAATCTCTCCTCCCGTCTGCTCACCCTCGGAATGTGAGATATATTGTCCCTACTTTGCGGATTTTCACTTTTCATGGGTGACCCTGGAATGTTACACCCGCGATAAGTGAGGGAACACTGTATTACTATCTCTCAGGAGACATCTTGCTTCTCTCCATGCTCACAGAACAGAAGGGGCAATTCAACAGACCAAACGCTTCCAGTACCCAACAGTAGAGCCATTGAGCTCCAGCTATTCACAAGAGCTTGAAAAGTCATGCCAGACTAATCTGATCTCTTTTTTCGATAGAGTTACAAGCTGGATAGATACAGGGAATGC